CGCCGACCCGACCACGGTGATCTGGCGCATGATGATCGAGATCGAGTAGACCGCAATCAGTTCGTCGGGCGCCGCGAGGAGTACAAAATTGCCCTTGGTCGCGACGAGGTGGACGAGGTCGCCCCGTGGATGTCAGGGCCGTTTCCCGTGCAGAGGACAATCATGTCAACGTGGCGGCGTAGCACATGTCTAGTCATGGACTAGACATGTTGCGAAAGTGATGTGGGCCAAGCACGTCCTTGCAGACCAGACCGCCTTTTAGAGGATTGAAGACGAAATCGTCAAGGAGTCTCATACCACCATACAAAGAAGGGAGGGTATACAATGAATACGATGCACATACAATAAAGAGTCCCACTTCGACAACCCCCGTGTAGCTTCGGGTGCTGCAGCTCAGGTCGGCCCACGGTCGCATCCAAGTGGAGCTACGCAACACGGGTCTGGCTCGCGACCGCGAACGCTGCTGGTTGATCAAGTAGCTTGGCATAGAAATAGAAACGATAGACGTAATCCCGGTAATACACCGCCTGACAAGAGTTCCGCTCCGCCACTCAAGTTCTGTCGGAACTAGTTGGCAGACACGCAGCGATGTTGTACAGCTCGTGCTCTCAAATATTGGCAGGTTGAGCTATCATTTCTCCTAGCAGGGCAGCGGCCGTTCTTACGGGAGCAGTGCATGGGAGCTACAGTAGACTCATGGATCCGGGCGCTGGATCTTGATGTCTTGGAAGACGAGATGGCTACATCTCGACGTTGTATCAATCTGTCAAGGGTTGTGTTGCAGCTGCGAACTTGTCATGTTCAAGAGTGAAAGACATTATTGTTGCCACTTTGGGGTCAAGATATATGCACATCAAGTGTACCCCTGCTTTAAGGTTGGACGAGGCTGTGGTCAACCTCTACGTACCGCCGGCAAGAGGATCGGCTCAGCCCGCGTGTACGTATCGTTTAGTTTCGCGAAGAGGAGTGGCTCGTTCCCAAAGTACTCGCGCGCGAGCGCGCGCGCCTCCTTGCACCGCGCTTTATCGTGCAGGCGGAAGAAGGCCTCGAGCTTCGCCGCGCTCGCGTTGAAGAGGGCCTCGTACGACTTGCGCGGGTAGCGCGCGGTGGCGACGATTTCATGGAAGAGGACGGCGCGAACGAGCAGCAGGAGCCACGCGACAGGCGGCGGCAGCACTGCAGTGCTCATGGCGACTAAATGCAGAAGGCCATGCGCCAGAAAGTAGGCTACGAGACAGCATAGCCACGTGAGCCTCGAGTCGGACCGCGAGCAACGTACGGCCAGCGTCGAGCGATCGCGCGTAGGCGGCGGCCGCGACGACGACAATCATGGCGAAGCGAATGGTTTCCACGCCGAACCCATCCAAGGTGCTGGCCGGAAGCGCCATGGGCAGTAGCTGCGGCGCCACGTAGACGGCTGCGCAGGGTGCGCGGATGGCGACGGCCCGTCCCCACGTGCCCATCTGGTGCGGATTCTGAAACTCAATCGGTTTTGAGAAATGCTGCTGGATAGTCGAAAAATGCGGTTGTGGCATCTGATTGGCGGAGACAGAATCTTGAGCGGACACTTTAATGGCCACGTGCACGTTGAAGAACATCAAAAGAACGCATTGTAATCATGCACAACAACAATAGTGTCTGTCATGTTATAGACAAGATGTCTTTCGTGGCACTGTTCCATGGACTGGACGCTCCTTTCGACTTCAATGGAGGGGTCGGGAAGCCTGATACTGCCGCCTCCTTTCCAGGCACGGTGGTCTCGCTCGCGATGGTATCGTCGTCTTGGTTGCTTTCAGCGTCGTCGTCCCATGCCACCCGGTGTCCGTGCTTCCAGTGGCCGCGCCGGCGCCGACCGGATGCAAACACGTACTCGGCTGCCCCGTGCACGTGCCCGCTGACAAAGTCGCCGTCAATGCCGTCGCCGTTGGTATAGTACAGCATGCCACGCCCGTGCCGCACGTCATCCGAAAAGGCCCCCGTGTACTTGAGCAGTCGGTACAGTGCGTCGTTCCCGCCAATGTGCAGGCGCCGATCGTCGCCGAGTTCAGCAGCAGGCGTCAAGATCGCGTCGCCGTGACCGTCGCGCTTGCCGTGGACCCAGTCGCCGACATAGGCGCGTCCGTCCGTGTGCAGAAACCGTCCGTGGCCGTGAAACACACCGTTGAAGAAGCCGCCGGTATACATGCACTCGCCTTTTCCATAGTGGTAGTTGCCGCTTCCGAGAGGAAACTCGAGGGGCGTGCTGCTGGTTTTAAACATACGGAGTTGTCCGTCGCCCGATTGACGTCCGTTGTCAAACGCACCCATGTACTCCACCTTCATGCCCTATATAGTACTATGACTTCCCTCATCAGGGAACGAAAGCTGGGGACGGTACCTGCACGGTGGAGCGCAGCGTGCCACGGCCGTGCATGACATCGTTGGACCACTCGCCAATGTACTCGTTCCCGGAGGCCCACACCCGGCGACCTCCATCGCAATGTGAGCTCTATTGGTGCGAGGACAATTACCTTTGCCATGACGCTTGTTGTTGGGCGATGGCGTCACGACGCACCGGCGCACGCGCACAGCAACGTACTCGCCCTCGTAGAAGCCACCGTCCTTGTAGGTAAATTTACCGCGGCCATAATAGTACCCGCTGTGCATCTGCCCTTCGTACACGTCGCCGTTCGTGTAGCGAAAGAGGCCATTGCCGTGGGGAAGGCCATGTGCAAAATCACCAATGTACACAAACGTCGCAGTCGTCCAGACACCGCTACCGTGCTGACGGTGGTCGACCCAGTCGCCGTCGTACTGCGAACCATCGGCAAAGACGCGGACGCCGGCGCCGTGTTGGTCACCAAGTTTGTATTCGCCCACGTAGGACCCCCCTGCATGGGGCCACGCGCGGTGGCCAAACCCGTGGAAGAGGCCGTTCTGGAAGTCGCCATCGTAGCTGCCGCCGTCGCGATACAAGAGGTGGCCTTTGCCCCACCACTTGCCGTGGCGCCAGTCGCCGTCGTAGCGGTCGCCAGTAGCGTAGCAAAAGACGCCATGGCCGCTAAAAACGTTGTCGGCAAACGTGCCATCGTAGCTGCCGCCGTCGCCGCGCACCAAGGTGCCTTTCCCATGTTTGTGGCCGTCACGGAACCCGCCTTCGTACGACGAACCTTTGGTCCACTCTTTTGTGAGCGGGTGCTGCAAGTCCGGCACGCGGAGGACCCCAAAGCCGTTGAAAAGATTATGGGCAAACTCGCCGTGGTACGTGGCGCCGTTGACGTAGGTAAAGGTCCCGCGGCCTTGGCGCTGGCCGTCGAGCCACTCGCCGTCGTAGAGGTCCCCGTTGGCGAACCGGAGCTTGCCGCGGCGGTAAACGCGCCCGTCGTCTGTCAAGCGCCAGGACCCGAGGTCAAAGACCACGTTCATGGAGCAACGCGACCCTTCAAGATGCAAAATGACGGTTCCTTTCCACGTGGCAGCACCGACGAGGCGGGATTCAAGTGAAGGTGTCGTGACGCATATGTGGCCAGCATGTTGTTGCGAAACTTTTCTGCTTCATGAAGCTATGGAGACGGAGAGTGAGAGGATGCAAGTTCTATACCATGGACAACAGCATTCGTTGGGGTATGACGGCGGTACAAGACCCAAGTATGTAGTATTGTTGCTCGCGATGAGTTATCGACGCATTATGGCACTTGGGCCAACGCATCTTTGTCGGCAGCGACCTCGGCGGCCACCTTGGCTTTCAAGCGCGTCTCCCAGTCGGCGATCGCGATGGTCACGGCCAGGTAGACGACGCCGGCGGCCCACGCGAAAAAGCAGATCCAAAGCGCAGCTCGAGCGTCGGACGTCATGTAGGTCCCTAGTACGGTGAACGCAGCGAAGGCCGTCATAAAGCCGTACTAGTACAAGAGAATGGTCTGGCACAGAATGAAGACGAGATCAAACCACGAGGTGCCGCAGCCGACAATATAGTAGTCGGCACGGTCGGCGGTGACGACGGCCTTGAGCTCGTCGTCGTCGTTGGCCGTCGACGGCTGCGGCAATGGGTTGCGCATCGCGTGCAAAGTCGACTGTCCCAATCTGCATCGAGACTTGGGCCAGTGCTTGGATGTGGCTCGCGACGTCGATTGCAAGCACGATGGAAGAAACATTCAGGTGTGTTCGTATTGTATTTGGAGAAATGTATACCGATATGCAGCGCGTCTCCTAGTAATACGAGTTGCGTTCGACCCAGCCCGGAATCCGGTTCGACTTGCCGGTTTGCTTGTCGACGTACACGGTCGACGTCGACCGGAGGAGGTACTTGCGCATTTCATCGTACGTAAAGAGGAACATAGCCACAGGCATACCACCGAACCAGTGCGTGAGGCGGATGCCGGTCGTCGTAAAGATCATTTGGAAGAACGACGAGTAGCACGTGCACGCGCAGAGGAGGAACTCAAAGCCAAGGCCAAAGAGGAGCACCGAGTTGCGCATGCCTTGGGAGCGGATCGAGAGGAACCGCGTCTTGCAGTTGAGCACGTTGGCCCACTGCATGATGACAACAGTCACAAAGTACGCAGTCTGCGCGTGGAGAAGTGCCATCATGCAGAGACGGCGCGACATGACGTTAACCTGCACACCGTTCGCCGTCTTGAGCGTGAAGCCAGCCCGGTAGTCCAGAAGGCATTGCTCACCGTCGCAGTACGGTTGGCCTGTCGGATCCAGAATCATGTAATCTGCCACCGCGTTCTTGTACGTGTTGGAATCCGACAATGTCACTTGTGTCGACGGCGTCAACTTGCCCGACGAGTCGGTAAGGGTCACCTTGGGGCCGTTGAAGACCGCGCGGGGGCGCGCCGACGTCGCCACTTCGTCCCCCGTCGTGTCGGCGTTGGTGATGCTCCACACACCGATGGGCTGGAAGCCGAAGATCAAGCCTTTCTCGATTTTGTCACCAAAACCATCGACTTCGCCATTCGTCGGGTCCCATGAGAAAAACTGCGACTTGAAGAAAGCCGACCGGCGAGCAGCATACGGGTAGTACGGACGGTAGCCGGCGTTCCACGCGGCTTCCATCGATTGCACCGTGATCATGGACAAGGCGTTGGTGTACGTCCCATACGTCTTGGGGTCGATGTAGTTGTAGTTGCTCGGGGAGCTCTCGCTGCCTTTGAAGTTGGCGTACGGGAAGACGCAGTCGTCAATCGAGCCATCCAGCGCCGGGCGCCAAAAAACTTGAGCGTCGACAGCCCTTCCACCCGTGGGGATCGTCTGGTTGTACACAGGGCCGCAGACAGGGTCCGCGCTCAGGCCCAGCGGTTGTTGGTTGTCACTGCCGTCCCTGTAGTACCCGCCCGGCGTGCAGTACTCGCCCTTCTTGGTCTTGCACCACAGCACTTGCTTCCCGAAACGGTCCATCTGACCAAGACCCGGCAGTTGGTTGGCCGGGTACCCATAGTCGTTGAGCACGATAAAGTAGATAGCGTGACCCCCAAAAGCTTGGACAATGCCAATGTGGCCGTATGCGACCCAGATGAGCTTCTTGGTCACGAGACGATCAATGTTGGGGCGGCGCGGCGACCGCAGCATGATGTCGTTCTCGGCCTCCTCGTACGCCAACGCAATCGCAGGAATCAAGTCCGTGCCAAGGCAAATGAGAAGCATGAGAATCGTCGTGAGCGGGCACGGGATACCAATCAGTACGTACGTCAAAAACGGCACGAGCTCCGGGATGTTGACGGCCAGCGCATAGCAAATACTTTTCTTGAGGTTGTCAAAGACCTTGCGGCCTTCTTCGACGCCGTACACGATCGACGCAAAGTTGTCGTCCAAGAGGATCATATCAGCCGCTTCTTTCGAGACTTCGGAGCCCATGATGCCCATCGCGATACCAATGTCGGCCTTCTTGAGAGCCGGCGAGTCGTTCACGCCATCACCCGTCACGGCCACAATCTCACCACGACGTTGGCAGTTTTCGACAATGATGAGCTTTTGCTGCGGCGACGTGCGCGCAAAGACACATTGACGGTGCGACAAGATACGGTCCCACTCTTCCTCGGGTGTGTCCATGCTAATCGTCCAGCCAGGCACGACGATCGCGGGTGCAAGGTCCGGGTCCTTCCAGCCAGGGTCCCCCTTGACAAGACCGCGCTCCACGTTCTCTTCTTCAAGATCTTCCTTTGTCGGGCCCCAGAGAATACCCACCTTGTGCGCAATCGCCTTGGCCGTGATCGGATGATCGCCCGTGACCATGATGACCTTGATGCCAGCGCTCTTGCACTTGGCGACGGCGCCCGGGACTTCAGTGCGGGGCGGGTCAATGAGTGCCATGAGGCCGATGAAGCAGAGCGGCTCTTCGATGCGCTTGTTGGGCGTCGGCGTTGCGTCGTAGTCGACGTCGGTCTCACCGAGCGGAAAGTTGCAGTTGTCCGTGTTGAAATCGTACCCGTGGGGGTAGTCGTTGAGCGGCAGCTCCTTCTCGGCAAACCCAAGCACGCGCATGCCCTTCTTGGACAAGGCAAGCTGGCACGCCTCGACTTCAGCGCGGCGCTCGGGCGTCATGTCGACAACTTCGCCGTTGATCATGATCTTGCCGCAGCGTACCGAGATGCGCTCCGGAGCGCCCTTCATCACGAGAAGCATTGGCTTGGACTCGTCGTTTTCTTGCTTGTGGATTGAGAGCTGATACTTGTTGCGCGAGTTAAACGGGATCTCCTTGATCTTAGCGTTCTCGTTGCGGTAGTCGATAATGTCGCGCTTGTCTTGAACAAACTTGATCATGGCCGACTCGGACGCATCACCAATCGTCTCCCAGAGAATGCGGGGCACACGCTGGCCTTCCTTCGTCACGGTAAAGTCCGAGAACGCCACGGGTGGACCGCGACTCACTGTCACGTCGCTGCCCGAGCCCGAGACGACCCGCTCAAACTTCGAGTCTTCATCAAAGACGGCGTTATTGCAGAGGGTTGCGCAGCGCTGGAGGCGCTGGAACGTGACGTTGTCCATTTTGTAATTGCCAACCGGCGTGAGCGAGCACTCGGCGTCCCAAATCTGGTTGTCGTACACGACGCTGGCCACCGTCATGATGTTTTGCGTGAGCGTGCCCGTCTTGTCTGAGCAAATGCAGCTCGTGGAGCCGAGCGTCTCGACGCCTTCGAGGTTCTTGACTAGGACATTCTTGCGCGCCATGCGGGCGGCAGCAAGCGACAAGCAGACCGTGAGCGTCGCAAGGAGGCCTTCTGGCACGTTGGCGACGATGATACCGATCATGAAGACAATATTCGTGACCGCGTCTTGGCCAATGAGGAAGCCGATGATGAGGAAGACGATGCCAATCGTCACGGCGACGGCCGTGATGATGTGCACAAAATGGTTGATCTCCTTGGCGATCGGCGTCTGCTCCTTGGCGGTGCCCGTTGCGAGCTTGGCGATGCGGCCCATGACCGTGCGGTCGCCCGTGCGCACAACGATGCCCTTTCCAGACCCTTGCGGGATGAACGTGCCGAAGAAGCACATGTTCTTGGTCTCGAGCGGGTTGTCGTGCGTGCAGTCAGGGATGCGCTTGAGCGGCTCGGGCTCGCCCGTGAGCGACGAGTTGTCGACCGTCAAGTCGTCCGAACCCTCGATGATGCGAATGTCGGCTGGCACCTTGTCGCCGCCCTTTAGGACGATGACGTCGCCGCTCACAAGCAGCGACGCGTCCAGCTTGGTCGACTTGCCGTCCCGGATGACCGTCGTGATCGTGGGCATCATGTTCTTGAACGAGTCCATCAAGTTGGACGACTTGCGGTTTTGCGAGTACGAAAAAAGACCCGTAATGACCACGACGCAGAAGAGCACGATGCCAAGATAGAGGTTGGGTTCGCCGCCGACGAGGGCGTAGACGACAATACAGAGGATGCCACCTGCCCAGAGCAGGAGCGAGAAGAAGCCCGTGAGCTCGCGGAAGACCTTGACAATCTCGGGCGTCGACCGCGGTGGCGTAAGCTTATTCAGCCCATCGATCCTGCGGCGCTCGTCTGCTGTTGCCGTCACCATGCCCTACAGACAGTATCGTCATGCATCGTCTTAGGACGCGAGCGGCTTCGTACCTCGGTCGCCGACGTCTGCAAGTCCGCGCAGAGCTCGGGGATCGACTTCTTGTGCTCGTCCATATCCAGCTCGCGCTTGGCTTCGTCCATCGATGCATCCTTCTTCCCCTTCTTCCCTGTCTTCTTCCGCGCTTCCATCCGATGGCGGAGCTCCGTGGTCGCGGCCACGATCTCCGCCGACGATCGGCGAACGCGGGTCGTCATGGGCTGCGGCGGCGTCTCGGCTTGCGTTCGACTTGGCAACTTCACGACTGAGACGAAATCCAAAGCCGTTGCCGTGCTTTTTGAATCCAAGACGTATAAAAATAGATCCTCGGTGGTTTTTTAAGCTGGAAATTTGTATGTGCGGTGGTTTTGCGAGCCTATTTTCATCGGATGTGGCTTTTGGCGGTTTCACGTAGCCTCCAAAATATTATATTTAATTCGGTTTCACAGGTCATTACACCTTTCTCTTTATATAAAGATGCATTTTCACCAATCAAATGGCAATATGCTATCCTACAGGTATTTAAAGTCAGAGGTTTCAGGAGGCGACCCACCATCTCGGCAACGTAAATCGCAATCCTTAGCTCAAGTAGGCCACAGACGACGAGGACGCTACTTGCGGACTCCAGAGCTGGACGGTATTATAGTCAGCCCTACGTCGTGAGAAGCCACATCTTTGCAGTCGGATGTGGCATGGTTCGACGAGTATATCGGTAAAAGTATGTGGCACTGAAGAACCGTTTTACCCATGCGTTTTACCCCAAGCGCCAAAGCGTACTTAACCGATCAGTCGGGGAGGCGTACTTAATGCGTTTTTGGATGCGAACTTTGCAGGCATCGGTCAAACTGGGGTCGACCACGTGGAGCATGCTCGTCGTCGTCGTCGCCAGCGTCGTCGCGGCGCCGGTTTCCGCGCTGCTGCTTGTGCTGCTGCTTCTCCGCGCCTACAACGCCACGCGCCAACAGCGCGTCCTCGGCTTCTTTCACCCGTATGCTGCGTCGGGCGGTGGCGGCGAGCGCGTCCTCTTTTGCGCGCTGCAAGCGCTGCCAGCAACCGCACACGTCGTCATCTACGTCGGCGACGCCATTAGCGCGACCAAGCTGCTCGAAGATGCGCACCACCGCTTCAATTTTAAAGTGACCGACGTCAAGTGCCATGTAGACGTGGTGCATTTAAGGTACCGCCACTTGCTCCAGGCCAAGTACTACCCGCGCTTTACGCTGCTCGGGCAGAGCCTCGGAAGCATGCTCGTGGGCCTCGAAGCGTTCATGCGCTGCCCTGTGGCCGTCTGGATCGACACGACCGGGTGTGCGTTCACGTACCCGTGCGCGTGGCTTGGCGGCGCCAGCGTTGTGACGTACACGCACTACCCAACGATCTCGATGGACATGCTTGGCGTCGTCGCCCGGCGCGACGTGACGTACAACAACAGCGCCGACGTCGCCGGCAGCGCGCTCAAGAGCCAGGCCAAACTGGCCTACTACCGCTTCTTTGCCTTCTTGTACCGATGCGTCGGGTCGTTTGCATCGGTCGTCATGGTCAACTCGAGCTGGACACACAATCACATTAAGCAGCTTTGGACACACACCGCGCCGCTCGTCGTGTACCCGCCATGCGGCTCGACGGCGTTCGAAGCATACCCACTCTCCGGGCGCGACGCGATCGCGCTCTCGGTCGGCCAATTCCGGCCCGAGAAGGACCATGCGCTGCAACTGGCCGCGCTTCACCGCCTTGTAGAAGAGCATGCGGATCTCGTACGTGCAACGAACTTTAAACTCGTGCTCCTCGGCAGCTGTCGCGGCGCCGACGACGAAGCCCGCGTGCAGGCGCTCCGCGACGAGTGCGCGCGTTTAGGCCTCGCGTCGTACGTCGAGTTTGTCGTCAACGCACCGTTCGCGCAGCTCGAAGCGTACTTGGCCAAGTCGCTTCTTGGACTGCACACGATGCGCAACGAGCACTTTGGTATTGGTATCGTCGAGATGATGGCTGCGGGCGTCGTGGTGATCGCACACAACTCGGGTGGCCCCGCCGCCGACATTGTCAAGCCGGGCACGGGGTACCTCGCGACGACGGCCGACGAGTACGCAGCCAGCATGCACCGCGTGCTTACAAGCCATGACACGAGCGAGATGCAAGCCGATGCCCGGGCGTCGTCGCGCCGCTTCTCGGACGATGTGTTTCGAGACGCCTTCTTGGCCGCGGTTGCCCCCGTCTTGTAGACACGACCCGTCTAGCCGATCCTAGCCAGGGGGAAATGAAGGGTCAGGTGATCGATCGATGATGGAATACCCCTAATCCTAGTACTGGCTTCAACACCGAGCTGTCGTTGAACAAATGGCATCTCGGTGGAACAGTCTAATGTCTACCTCGTCGCCTTGCAGCAAAAATAGACTGAGGTTCCATGAGGTCCAGTGAAGAAAGTGCTGTCGAAGATCTGGATGCACGCGCGCAAGGGTCAATAAAAGAAGCCTTCGAGCTTCTGTCCCGTCCCGTAGTAGTTCAAAGTAGCAAACACTCGGCTCGACTCGTAGGACGCGCGCCGCTGCACGCAGGCGGTTGACGTTGCTTGCCCCGATCCTATAAATGCGAGTGATGATGGGTCAAGCGGGCAAGACATTCAGCAATTTTTTACCATCGACGCAGGCCACGCTGCCACGTACCCAACGCGCTGAAGATCGCAACGCGACAGCAAGGCCGAGGTTGCCGCAAGGCCAACGATGCGACCGTCTTCCATGCAAGAAGCACTCAGCGTTGCCATCAGCAGAGATAAGTTACATCCAGAGACCCTACCAAGTACTACACACAACGAAGAAAGTCCGACAATTTTATGTAGCATCGTTTTATCTATTGTAATAGACGACCCACTTCAACAACAACATCCAGAGACCCTTCCTTGGCTACATGCGTACGCTGCCCGTGCTTGGTCATCGCGAGCGGCTGCACTAGCCCAAAGGCCACGCCGGAAACGATGTGGCGCCTGTGGAACTCGGTACGGTATGCTACTACAAGTGAACCTACGTCGGCGCTCGATGACCGCGATCGCGCGCAGCTGCTGTCGGTTTCCCATACGCCTCCGCCGCGTCCTGTATCGCAGCTTGAGCGCCGTGGCTCGAATTTTCACGCGCCTGCGTGTTCTTTCTGCCTGGTGCATAGAGCACCACCACCCATGCGCGCGGATCCTGGCGTCAGCGATGTAGCCAGCGGAATGTACGGTACGAGCTTCTGCCACGTATGGTGCCCCGGGGCACCATCCCAGCGCCATAAACTCACCATCTGCCAAAAATATTGCCGAATTTGCATGCTCGTCGACTACGTCCTCGCCGCCATCATGCTCGGGTTCACTGCGTGGACATACGAGCTCCTCGGGCGGTCCGAGCACGCTGCGTACCTCGTCGGCAGCTGCATCCTGCTCCTCATCTGGCGCAGCGTCGTGCTCTCGGCGCCATCCTCGACGACCGAGCCGACGCTCGAGCTCTTGGAGGGCGAGATCGACGACGTCGCCAAGGCGCTGCCGACCAAGCCGGCGACCCGTCCTATGAATTGCAGCGACGTGCCAACGCCGAGCGAGAAGCTCATCTTGACGTCGCTCATTGACGAGCCGATCGGTAGCATTCGCATCCTCGTGGGCCCGTCCGGCGCGTTTGGCGGCCGCCTCGAGAAGAACGAGATCATCTTGGAAGACAGCGTCGTGAGCCGCGTGCATTTCTCGCTCTCGTGTGTCCGCAACACGTACTACCTCCAGGACGTCGGGTCGACGACTGGTACGTTCCTCTACTTGGCGCCGCACGAGACACGGCTCCTGAGCATGCACGACCACGTCAAGATTGGCGACTCCGAGTTCCGCATCGTCGACGCCTCGTTCCACGGCAAGTCGTCGCCGTACCTCCAAATCAAGTTTACGAAGGGACCGATGGAGGGCGTGACGCAGCGCATTGGCTCGTCGCTCGTCACGATCGGTCGCAAAACCAGCTGCACGCTCTGCATTGAGAACGACGTGACAGTCTCGGGCGCCCACTGCACGATCGAGTTTCGCGCACCGGTCTCGAATTCGAGCGCCGACTCGGACGACGAACAAAGCCTCTGCGGGTTTTACCTCACCGACCTCGGCAGCACCAACGGCACGGGCTTTCGCTTGAGTCCCTCGGGCCTGTCGTCCGAGAAGACGCGGCTGCACCACGGCGATGTCTTTGGCGTCGGCTGCACCCGCTTCCTTGTCCAGCACGCGAGCAAGCTCCACGAAGACGCCAGCACGAGAATAGCATAGCGTTGTCATCCCAACCCATCGCCCTTGTTGATATTATATCCAAACGCTGCACGACTCTTGCACACGAGGAGGAGGTTCGGAGGAGGTAAACGGGAGGTTAGGATTGCGGGTGAAGGGGTGTGTGTCGAAAGGGCTGTGTTGGGCTGCGTCGGCGAAGAAGGACAAGCCGCCACCAAGCGCTACCTTGGTGTAGTGTCGTAATTGTGGCACAATTGTGTCCTTATGGTGTCGCAAACAGTGGAACAGTGGCACAAAAGGGCTCTTTATGACAAAATGAGGACGAGGAATACGACATCGTGTCTACTCGGTCGCGTCCGGCTGCTGCGACGGGTGCGCCGCGTAGAACGCCGGGTGCTCGGCCAGCGCGGCGACGATGCGCGCGATCGTCGGGTACTTGGCCATGTCGACCTGGAAGCGATTGGCGTTGTACACTTGGGGCTCAAGGTACACGTCCGCAAGCGAGATGGCGTCGCCGACACAATACTTGCCGGCGGTCTTGGCGAGCTCGGCTTCGAGCACGTGAAAGCCGCGCTCGATCCACTCCTTGCTCCACGCCATGCGCGCCGCCATTTGGTCGGCTTCCGCGTAGTTGATAACCGCCTACGTCCATCACATATTGACATGAGATCATCGAGGAGAAAGCGCATCTCGTACGCGCTTCATGACGGCGAGGTTCTGGATCGGCTGGATGTCGCAGCCAATGAGGCCGCAGAGGTTGCGGACGTGCGCGCGGCCAAGCGCGTCGGCCGGCAGAAGCGGGTGCGCCGGATGCGTCTCTTCGAGGTACTCGAGAATCGCGCCGCTCTGGTGCAAGGCGTGGCCATCGATCTCGAGCGTGGGCACGCGGCCGTTGGGGTTGATGGCCGTGAAGGCCGGCCCGACCTGCTCGGCCTTGAGGAGGTTCACGGCGACGTACTCGTACGGGATCTGCTTGTAGGCCAGCGAGATGCGCACGCGCCACGAGCAGCTGCTGCGCCAGTACGAGTGGAGCTTGGTCGTCGGCTTGGTCTCGGTCGCCATCGCAGGTTTGTAAACGGCCAAAGCTTTTGTAATCACGGCCGATCGACGGTGCATCATCCGGATAAATGCCGGATACAGGATACCGCAGCTCCTTTTCTGGTCGTCATGGGCCTGTTGGCCAATCGCATGGTCCGATTCCATCACGTGGATGGAGGAAGGACCGTCGAGGAGTCGAGATGGTATCAAGACTAGGGCCGACCAGCCGATCGATGCAGAGCACATGAGATATAGGCATGTGGAGGCGAAGCTTACTGCTCTGCGTGTGGTACAGCGGGAGCAGATCCACGGCAAGTTGAAGCTGGCAGGCTTGTCGTGCGACCAGATACAAGCCAATTAGAATAGCGTATGCATACTGTCTACATGATATCCTGTGGACAGGATAGGATGTGGTCGTGGCTGGAAATTGATCAAGGCAATTGTATGCAGATGGCGGACGGGCGGTTTGTATCGGACCATTTGCCGTGGTGATCTTGCGATTTCGGAAACATGAGCCTCACCGTGCTCCTCGACGGCCACCGGAAGAAGGTCCCTGTGACCGCGGGCACGTCCATGGTACGAGGCAGCCGACTGCATGCGACCTCATCGAGATGCTGCCTAGTCGGACGTGCTGCGCAAGGCCTGCGAGCTGCATGACGTCGACGCCGACCGCCACGAGCTCCGCCACAAGCACGCGGTCGTCGACCTCTCGCTGCCCTTTCGCCTGACGGGCATCTCGTCCAACGCGACGCTCGACATGGCGGCGAAAAAGGCGGCGCGAACGACCCGATGGTGCGCGTCTGCGTCCAGCTCGTCGACGGCCGCCGCGTCCAGGGCAACTTTGGCAGCAGTCACACCCTCGCAGCGATCCTCGCCCAGCTCCAGATCCATCTGTCGCCCGAATGCGACTCGCTCAACTTTATGCGCCGCGACATTCGCGGGCCCGAGCTCGACACGCTCACGCTCCAGGCGCTCGGCCTCGTGAGCGGGTCCGGCATGTTTCGCGTCCAGAGCTCGGCGACCTCGACCGTCGCGCCACCGCCGCGCGTCGTCGCCGCACCAGCGCCCTCCCCGCCACATGTGGCCACGTCGATGCCAGTGGCAGCGCCGGTGACGCCGGCCATTGCACCGATGGCCGCCGTACCCGAGCCAGTAGTGTCGGCCCCGTCGCCGCTGCCATCGACACCGTTCGATGCGATCCAGCGCGTGCGCAGCTCCAACTTTGACGCTGTCTCGAGTACGGTCGTCTTGACGCTCATGAAGA